CATAGGGGGTTTGATCATAGGGGGTTTGACCATAGGGGGTTTGACCACAGGTGTTTTCTCAGCAGAGGGTCTTTGATCACAGGTGGTCTATCAACTGGTGTTTGATCACAAGCGCTGTGTCCGGCTTTGATCATAGGTGTTTTGTCCACATCGGGTCTTTGATCTCAGGTGTTTTGTCCACATAGGGTCTTTGATCTCAGGTGTTTTGTCCACATAAGGTCTTTGATCTCAGGTGGTTTGTCCAATGCTGTCCATATATGGTAAGGATTTATTTTAAAAGTTGCTAAATTATATTTTAAATTTTGGCATGATGTATTAATATGGTCAAACAGATGTACTGACATATTTGCGTGCTATAGCACATCCGTCATTTAGTTAACCATTTTATGTATTACATTTTTGACTATATTGTTGGCAAGTTTTGTATCATTTTTATCCTTTATATATGCTATGTATTTTCAAGTACTTCTACATTATTTATTTGTGAAACTTGTTATATGTCGCATTATTTGTGTTTCATTTATATTTAAAATAAATCTATGAGGTCTAGCACCAGCCTTTATGTGGAGACTAAAATATAGTTCTTGGCTTTTTTAAATACATGTTAATTTCTATTAACGTACTCTCAGGAAACATGTATAAAATCGTGTTAATTGTATCACACCTATGATCAAAGCCGGACACAGCGCTTGTGATCAAACACCAGTTGATAGACCACCTGTGATCAAAGACCCTCTGCTGAGAAAACACCTGTGGTCAAACCCCTATGGTCAAACCACCTATGATCAAACCACCTATGGTCAAAGCACCGCTATGGTCAAAGGCCCGCTGTGGTCAAACCCCCTATGGTCAAAGCCCCTATGGTCAAAGCTCCGCTGTGGTCAAACCCCCTATGGTCAAACCCCCTATGGTCAAAGCACCTGTGGTCAAAGGTCCGCGCACCCAGAGTATAGAGAAAGTATTGAAATTGTGCAGTTTTACACCTCCCTGATTCTCAAAAAACGCATGTGAATTTATAAAGACCTAATAATATCCCGCACTATTATCCACATTTTGTTTGGCGTTCACTTGGTGTGCAATTCTTTTTTCTACTTGAAAAAGCTAAAAAGCTGCTACTTTTTTTAAAATCCAGCAATGAACTTCAAAAGTGAAGTCTACGACTCACCAGCAACAATCCTACACTCTGACAGTTGAACTTTGTTTGCCATTCCCATGTCTCCAATGAGCGCCTCTGTTGACAAAAATTAACTAATTAATTTAATTGCGCTGAAATATTCCGCCCCGTGCTCCGCAAACAATTCAGTTTTAAAATAAAACAAAAAAAAAAGTCCCGCTGATTGGGACTTGTTCCTGCAACAGAGCAATGATTAGCCTGTCATTCCGCGCGGTTTTTTACCCCGCGTCATTCCCAGCATGCATTTCTCCTCCCCATATTGTCCAGACCCATTAGCGCATGCCTAAATAATAACACGATCTTTCCGGTACGCAGAAGAAGAAAAAGCCTGTCTTTCCAAACGGCAGCAGCCCGAATGCGCCTTTGAAATTTTTTTTTTTTTTTTTGCATGGAAAAATATTCAGTTTTTCTTTTTGACGATAATATACCAAAGTTTATGTTATGCTAAAATAGGAAAAAAAAAGTGATTTGCAAAACGTATAGGGAAAATTTTGTTTTTAATATCGTATAAAAGGAGGATATTAGAAGATCTAGTTTTACATAACGGATAAATCGGCTTGATTTTTTTTAACGAGGTTATATTTAATGGAGAAGAATTTAATTTCAGGGGCGTGTTTACGATATGACTGTAGACCGAGGTTTTTGTCTGTGTTATTTTGTTTCTTTTATGGTCGTATTGAAATATTTTGGTCTCGACGGACAGGTGAAGTAGAGTTTACTTGATTGATGTTTTCCGTGGGGAGTGTAATGACGCCACTTGGAAATTCGGAATGAAAACCAAAACTACGTCAGTAATTATCGTCGAATGTGTAACTTGCCACAATGATATAGATCCAGTACCTGGGAATACAAAAGATCAATTAAACAAAAGATTAATTAATTACAGAGCACACCCATCATTGTGGAGCGACATGGTCAGTTGGTAGAGCACAAGATAACCAGCTTGAAAGTCTAAAAAATTCCGTGTTTGAGTCCGTAGGTCATCGCTCAGTTCACTCAGCTCTAAGTAGTTCCTGACTCGAGTTGGTGGACGTGAAGGTCAGCCGAACAAAAACAAACCAAGTCAAATCTACTTCACCTGCAATGTGTGACTAATCAGGTACGACAGTCGAATTAGTGTACGCATTCTAGCACCGAGCTAGAGAAAACGACCCCTACACGACCTAGACAAAACGACCCCTACACAACATAAACAAAGCGACCCCTACACGACCTAGACAAAACTACAACCTAGACAATCGACCCCTACACAACTTCGACAAAACGATCCCTACAAGACCTAGATAAAACGAGCCCATCCTCTACCTTTTTGTACACCGCCCAGATCAAATCGCCCAAGCTCTATTCAAATAACCAGACGCACCTTAAGACAATGTCAATTCCTCTCAGGTCAAACGGTGTACCATAGAACTTCAAACCCAGAACAATGATTTTAATTTCACATTAAACGATGCCATCAGATATTCTGTTTGTTTTACCGCTTTAAAAAACCGGTGATGAAACTTGACGAGGATTGAATAGAAAATCGACTCCGGGATAAAATTGTATGTCTCTAAAGCCGAAAGAGATTTAGAGAACTTAATGTTGAAAACATCAATCCGAGATTTTGAAAACTGCAACTCGGAGTCGTTCGTTATATCACGCTTCGTCCTCGCAGTGCGGTTTTTGTTTATTGATTCATTAATTATGCATACAGATTTACAAAACGGGTTTAATTAGATCTGGAATTTATAGCATGAATTAATTATTTGTTTCCGTTCGTACTTCTTTTGATGCCATCACGTGTTGGTTTCTGTAATGGAAGTCAAGTTACGCAGAAGTCAAGTAATGTCACGTCTTGTTACGTCTTGGCACGTCTTGTCACGTCTTGTTACGACGTGACACATGTTGGCGTGGAACAATTTTCAAAATAATTTTTTTTTAAGAATTATTTTCTTGCAGGTACTGCAAAATTAGATTTTAAATATTTGAAAAATTTGATTTTAGATAATTCAGAAAATTAGATTTTAAGATATTTAACAAAAGTAAATCTAATTTTCTTATATATCTAAAATATAAGTTACTTGGCAAAATTATATTTAAAAGAAATATATTTTAAATGTTTTACAAACTACATTTTAGACACTCGACACCTATTTATTAAAAAAAAAATTATTAATTTTTTTTTTTTTAATTTTTAGATATTTAAAAAACCCAGCTTTTTTTTTAGACTTTCGACACTAAATAAAACTAGATTAAAGTTATTTAAGAAAATTAGAATTTAGATTTTTAATAAAATTGTGTTGTAAAATTTAGACAGTGTACTCATGTTGTGAACTTGAGACCTTTTATCAAATCTGCAATCTACATAACAAACCAGTTTTCTGCAGAGCGTTAAATAAAATTCTAGATCCCATTGTAAGCAGGCAATCTAATGGCAAACTAATGGACAACGGCCAATTCACCGACACAACTGGTCCAGTGTTTCTTCCAGACTTTTTTCTCCGGGGGGGCACTTGAAATCTTCGGGGGGGGCGGTAAACTTTCTTCGGGGGGGCGGACACTGTTAAAAGTATATATTTTCTATATAAATTATATAAATTTCATTTCGTTCGGGGGGGCGGTAAAAATTTTTCGGGGGGGCTTCGCCCCCCCGAAGAGATGCCTGGAAGAAACTCTGAACTGGTCTACGACCAATGGGCACCTTAATCTAAGTTAGCTACTAGCATACGGTATGGTACCTATCCTAGCTGCATACCATATGCCATATGGCATATGGCATCTATCCTAGTAGGCTACCAGCATACCATATGGTACCTATCCTTGTTGCATACAAGCATACCATATGGCATCTATCCTAGTTAACATTAGCATTACGTATGGTACCTGTCCTAATTATCACGAATCGTACCATATGACACCTAATTAGCCACTATCATACCATATGGTACCTATCCTAGTAGGCTGCCAACATATAATGTGGCAGCTATTCTAGTCAGCTACTAGCATACTAAGTCCACCTATTAAAGCATACTAACACCCCATATACCCTAAATAGCCACCAGCACACCATACCCCCACCTATCCACTTCGCTACTAGCATACCATACGCCACCTATCCACTTCGCTATTAGCATACCATAACCCCACCTATCCTTTTCGCTACTAGCATACCATACGCCACCTATCCACTACGCTACTAGCATACCATACGCCACCAATCCACTTCGCTACTAGCATACCATACGCCACCTATCCACTTCGCTACTAGCAAACCATACCCCAGCTATCCACTTCGCTACTAGCATACCTTACGCCACCTATCCACTTCGCTACTAGCATACCATACGCCACCTATCCACTTCGCTAATAGCATACCATACCCCACCTATCCACAACGCTACTAGCATACCATACCCCACCTATCCACATCGCTACTAGCACACCATACCCCACCTATCCACTTCGCTACTAGCATACCATACCCCCACCTATCTACAATGCTACTAGCATACCATACCCCCACCTATCCACTTTGCTACTAGCATACCATACGCCACCTATCCACTTCGCTACTAGCATACCATACCCCCACCTATCCATTTTGCTACTAGCATACCATACCCCCACCTATCCATTTTGCTACTAGCATACCATACCCCACCTATCCACTTTGCTACTAGCATACCCCAATGACACCATTTCCCTGTTTTTCTCCATTCCGCTCCGGTCTCACTCCGCCTCCGCCCTCGACGTCACAAGTCCGTGACGTCACAGCCCGTACTGCCGTGTCGTTTGTCGCCCACGGTCACGTGACGGGCATGGAGGAGGGCCCAGGCGGCGAGGCGTTGTATAAAAGCTGGAATGGTTAACCCCGGGAGGAGAAGTTTGAGTTTAATTTTCACTCCCACTGAAGAACTCGGCCATTTTTATAGCAGGTGCGGTCACTCTAAAAACCAAAACAAACCAGTCCTCCATTTTACCGTCAAGTAGGTAAGAAAACATAAGCTATTTTTTTTCCAATTCTGATTGAAATGTGTTTATGTTGTGTAATTAGTGGAACCGCGCCAAACTTATTTAAAAGTGAGTCCTGAAGCATTTTTTTAACCTGATGCAACAGTATCGGTTTTTAAAGTTTATGAGTATTTGTTTTTATATTTTGAGAAAGCGTGCATTGAAAACTGCTTTGCCTGAAATGAAGTCAACAAACTTGATTTGTATCCAAATTATATATATATATATATATATATATATATATATATATATATATATATATATATATATATATATATATATATATATATATATATATATATATAACTTTTAAGATAAGTACATTTGCATTTTTATTTCTGCTGAATTTTCCCATTTGCAAATATGGCGTTTTTCATAGCAATTACACAGGATAAATAATTAAGCCAACACGTTTGATATAACCGACTTTAAAACACTATTGCTAACATTATATATGTAGCAAAATAAAAAGAACATAAAAAAGATTAAATTAGCTTTTCCTGTAGACAAGTTTGCCAACATGTCTTATATAACAACAAAGAACATAAAATAAAAAGAGTAAATTAGCTTTTCTTCATGATAAGTTTGACCGTAAAGTGAGATGTGGTACAATGCAGTTCTCTGCCCAGGGTAACGTGATTGTGGTGGTGTCTGTCGGGTCATATTTCTGGCTACATACGGAATGTTTTTTGTTTCATAAGATACACATTTAAAACCTTATTTATTTATACATATTTATAATGGATATTTTTTTTAGTTAGCTCGTGATATACGGCTAATGGTTTTTGGTCAAATGTATTTAATTAGCCTTTATTGTGTTGGCTGAGAATAGTTGATAAACCGAAATATTTAAAGATCAACGTGGGGAGGGTTGAAGGAGAGAGACCTAGTATTCCATCAGGCAGAGTTTAGAGCTGGAGACAGGACCAAACGACGCTCACATGTTGATGCCCCGTGTCACTATGGGTGTTCTGATGTGGTGATGATGTAGCACAACCCCCCCCCCTCCCCCCCATCAGTTACCTCCCGGTTGTAGTTTGGGCTAAAGCAAGAGTACGTGCTAGAGATAGGACTCTGATTTTAATTAGGGTTAGTCATAATGGTGGCAATATTGATTGGTTTAGAGTATTAGGTTTAGGATTAAGATTAGGGTTATCTTGTTATTCTATTACCTGGTTCTCCTGCTTGGTGTAAGGGGGGTGGGATTACTATAGGATAGTATTACCAGAGAGTAATGTCTTAGACACAGGTCACACATTTATATTTTACTATACCTACAAAAACCAACCTTTTAGACGTCTTCTGGTGGTGTGGTTATCAAAAACGATGCTTTGGTGTTCAAAAATGAAAAATGGTGGTGTGGTGTTCAAAACCGGTGGTGTGGTGTTCAGAAATGTGCTTGATGTGGAGTTCAAAATTTTATTTCACAGGTTTTGAGCAGGAGATTCTTGCATATTTTACTTTAAGACAACGCGTTATGTAACATCAGAATTACAATGTACGCAGCTCAACGGTTGAGTCCATTTCAGTTGTGACGTCATATGCGCTACTGCTATTTGATGCTGATACCTAGGGGGTAGCTTGTCTCTGTGTCACGTCGACTAGTTTGATGTCACATCTGAGTGTCACGTCGACTAGTTTGGTGTTACGTCGACTAGTATGATGTCACGTCGACTAGTATGATGTCACGTCGACTAGTATGATGTCACGTCTAATTGAGTGTCGAGTCCAATAACAGAATATCAAGTCTGTCATAACATCTTAAAATCGTGAATTGATTCTATCCAGCATTGTTATGTCCAAATTGTATCGGTATGTTTCTGCTAGCTGTCCCAAATATTACCCTAAAGTCTCAGGTCCGAACTATATAAGCTGTCCTTATCTCTCGCATTAAAGTCTTACGTCCAAACTGTATCGTATAATTCTGCTAGTTGTCCTAAATATTTTAAGTATTACGTCCAAACTGTATCGTATAATTCTGATAGCTGTCCTAAATATCTTAAGTCTTATGTCCGAACTGTAACTTATAATTCTGATAGCTGTCCTAAATATTTTAAGTCTATGTCCGAACTGTATCGTATAATTCTGATAGCTGTCCTAAATATTTTAAGTCTTGCGTCCAAACTGTATCGTATAATTCTGATAGCTGTCCTAAATACTTTAATTCTTACGTCCAAACTGTATCGTATAATTCTGATAGCTGTCCTAAATATCTTAAGTCTTATGTCCGAACTGTAACTTATAATTCTGATAGCTGTCCTAAATATTTTAAGTCTTGCGTCCAAACTGTATCGTATAATTCTGATAGCTGTCCTAAATATTTTAAGTCTTGCGTCCAAACTGTATCGTATAATTCTGATAGCTGTCCTAAATATTTTAAGTCTTACGTCCAAACTGTATCGTATAATTCTGATAGCTGTCCTAAATATCTTAAGTCTTATGTCCGAACTGTAACTTATAATTCTGATAGCTGTCCTAAATATTTTAAGTCTTGCGTCCAAACTGTATCGTATAATTCTGATAGCTGTCCTAAATATTTTAAGTCTTGCGTCCAAACTGTATCGTATAATTCTGATAGCTGTCCTAAATATTTTAAGTCTTGCGTCCAAACTGTATCGTATAATTCTGATAGCTGTCCTAAATATTTTAAGTCTTGCGTCCAAACTGTATCGTATAATTCTGATAGCTGTCCTAAATATTTTAAGTCTTGCGTCCAAACTGTATCGTATAATTCTGATAGCTGTCCTAAATATTTTAAGTCTTGCGTCCAAACTGTATCGTATAATTCTGATAGCTGTCCTAAATATTTTAAGTCTTGCGTCCAAACTGTATCGTATAATTCTGATAGCTGTCCTAAATATTTTAAGTCTTGCGTCCAAACTGTATCGTATAATTCTGATAGCTGACCTAAATATTTTAAGTCTTACGTCCAAACTGTATCGTATAATTCTGATAGCTGTCCTAGCTGTCTTTATCTCTCGCCATAAATTCAAACTTTTTAAAAGCCCAATCTTGTTTATCAAACACTACATCTAAATTAGGCCAACATGGGGTGCTTTGGCCATCTTAGTTAGGCCAACAATGGCGCGCTTTGGCCATCTAAATTAGGCCAACAATGGCGCGCTTTGGCCATCTAAATTAGGCCAACATGGGGCGCTTTGGCCATCTAAATTAGGCCAACAATGGCGCGCTTTGGCCATCTAAATTAGGCCAACAATGGCGCGCTTTGGACATCTAAATTAGGCCTACAAGACGCGCTTTGGCCATCTAAATTAGGCCGACAATGGCGCGCTTTGGCCATCTAAATTTGGCCAACATGGGGCGCTTTGGCCATCTAAATTTGGCCAACAATAGCGCGCTTTGGCCATCTAAATTAGGCCAACAATGGCGCGCTTTGGCCATCTAAATTTGGCCAACAAGGCGCGCTTTGGCCATCATGACTAGACAAGAAAACAGATTACAGTTTATAGCAGACGATCAGCTCTCCCGCGTCCATGTTTGTTTTGATTAGGCCCCATTCTTCCTCGCGTCTGCTAATGTGTTCACTCCATCTCAGCGCCAATTTGTTGTAAATGGTGCCAGGAACACAACTTTTCAAGGTGAGGTTAAGGATCATCAAACGATTCAAAGATTAAAACAAAGCTTAGGTTTTTTTTTAAAATTGTTTTTTTTTCTCTGTAAAAAGCGGGATTAGATTTGCAATAGATTGAAATTTCACAGCGATTCGTTGTTGGGAAGAATTTGCGTTCTACGCGTTTAAATCCAGAGCTAACACAGCTGAATTGGGTATCTGGCATTTGTTGGAAGGCTGTTGCAAGTATACAAAAATCTGGGTATTACATTTAATAAAAGACGTATTTTACGTTACGTTATATTTTTAATGTACAACATTTAAATAAAAGAAACTGATACTGCAGTTAGCAAGTAAGGCACAAAGTGAGAGAAATGAAAGAAACATTAACTACCAATGTAAAACCGATTACTTTTAGTTGAAATTGATTACACCGTTATGTGTTTAAATATCATAATACCCCCCCCCCCCCTCCAACACACACAAACACACACAGTATATATTACGAATCAATTGAAAACAAATGAAATGTTCTCCTTCCTTTCGCTGCAGTATTTAACAATCATAGCTGGATGAGTGTGAATTCTGTTAATTTTAGAAAAAAAAATTATTCGTTTGATTAGAAAATAATTTTTCTTAAGAAGACGCGGAAGCCATTATCTTTCTGACGCAATGCTCATTAATTATGAATCTTGTAAGTTATCACAGCGCGAGTTGCTTTAAAAATATTCGAAGGAGCGGATTTAAATAAGGTGAAGGGAGTGTTACGGGGGTGCTGAAGTGTAGGGGTACTGGTACACTCCATGGGGGGGGGGGGGGTTGCTGGAGTGTAGGGGTACTGGTACACTCCATGGGAGGGGGGGTGCAGGAGTATAGGGGTACTGGTACACTCCATGGGGGGGGTGCTGGAGTATAGGGGTACTGGTACACTCCATGGGGGTGGAGTATAGGGGTACTGGTACACTCCATGGGGGTGGAGTATAGGGGTACTGGTACACTCCATGGGGGTGGAGTATAGGGGTACTGGTACACTCCATGGGGGGTGCAGGAGTGTAGGGGTACTGGTACACTCCATGGTACATGTTGTGATGCGTGGTTGGATGTGATAGGTGGTTGGATGTGATAAGTGGTTGGTTGTGATAAGTGGTTGGATGTGATAGGTGGTTGGATGTGATAAGTGGTTGGATGTGATAAGTGGTTGGATGTGATAAGTGGTTGGATGTGATAAGTGGTTGGATGTGATAAGTGGTTGGTTGTGATAAGTGGTTGGATGTGATAGGTGGTTGGATGTGATAAGTGGTTGGTTGTGATACGTGGTTGGATGTGATAGGTGGTTGGATGTGATAAGTGGTTGGTTGTGATAGGTGGTTGGATGTGATAAGTGGTTGGTTGTGATAGGTGGTTGGTT